TTCACTTGTTGGACCCTTTTGTCGATTTACACCCTTTATCTGAGCTTCAATGTCGGCCCTCCGTCGACTTAAAGTCGTTAATTGATTTTGAAGCTCCGTGAACCTATCTGGCAGGCCTATTACAGAACACAAGCATTTAGCAAGTGGTCTACATATGTCTTTGCCAACGCCATATAGAGTCTGAAAGATATCCATTGCCTCTGCACATTTTCACAATAAGACATCATTGGTATGTCAAGTCAGAAATTCAGAATTTGTTCAATTAATTGAAGTTTGTGAGTTGTGAGTTGTAAGCCATTTTGTAATTCATTCATCTTAACCAAGTGATATTGTTGCAGTTTTAAGTCTTTTGTTTGCTAAAGACTTGGGTCTGGTTGATTTATTTAGACCCAACTCAGTTGTATCATCCAAATATAAGCAAACAAATATATATATGCAGCAACACCTAACATAAAAATTTTAATTAACCAAAACAAAGAAAAACTAAAATAAAATATGAAACTCAGAAGTTAAATGATTAAATAAAATAATGCTTAAGCGGGTAATTTCATCAGAATTTTTTTCTCAAACAATCACTTAAACGGACATTAGCTAAAAAAAAACCCCTTTGGAATAGTTAGGGGAGTGTTTTTTTGCCAAAAATATCATAGGAGAGTTTTTCGCAACAGGTTAATATTTGAGGGGGAGAGGTTTCTCAGTTGGGGCTCACATTTGGGATGCCTGGAGGGCTATTTTTCTCTGTATTTGGTGGCGCATTTGGCTAGAGGGAAATTAGAAATATTTCAATGAAAAGGAGAAGCCTGTATGTTATGAAATAAGGATCGAATAGGAGTTATAAGAACAAGAGAAAAATAATAACAAGAAAAATGAATAGGCACACAAAAGGGACAAAGATTTATACGTGGTTCACCCTCACAATTAGGGTTACATCCACGGGCGATGATGATTCGTATCACTATAAAGAATAAGATTACAAATTGAAGAACATTTTGGTTCTTCCTCACAATAATCTCTCTTCTCGCACCACTCACTCACTAACAAAGAAGACTAACTCAACACTCAAGAAATACCCCGAATTGTATATGGTTTAAACAAAGAGAAAAACCCACCCAAAGACAAGCGTGAAGATTGTACACACAAAAGAATTTTCTCACACACACAAAACCAATATACTCTCTTGATCCGAATATTGTCTTACTCTTGGATGCCTCTTGGATGCTTCGAACTATGGACGGCAAATGCTATTTATAGCCAAAATGGGACACCAAAATGAGGCTACTTGGTGACCACTCAAAAGACTTGTTGGGCACACATTCTTCGAGGCCAAGGCTACTTGGTGACCACTCAAAAGACTTGTTGTGCACACATTCTTAGAGGCCAAGAATCTTGATGACATTATCGGTGATGCAAGCCTCAAATTGAGCCATATGTTTAACACTATCTCTATGTTTGAGTTTTCTATTATTTCTACTCTTTTTTGTTGGATTTCAAGAAGAAATTATTTTAGAGGAGATAGTTATTTTTTTGGCCTCTTTGATGGCTTGACGCGTTTTTTTGGCCTTTATGTTTCTTTGTGATTTGCTCCCTTTTGAGCGTTTGTTATAAAATTTTTACTTATCAAAAAAATAAAATAAAATTACTGAATCAAAAAATATATATATATCTTTTAACCAAATTCACATAATTGGGTGGATTGCAGACCCCCAATTGACTTGGTGAGGGTGATCAGCGACTGAGGGCGAGGGACGACAGCAGCGGCGGTAGTGGCGGTGGCGGTGGCGTGGACAGCGGCGGTGAGAGAAAGAGAAAGAACAAAGAGGAGAGAGAAAGGAGGAAAAAAAAAAAAAAATTAATTTTGGATTTTGGGTTGGGTTCGGGTTGAGACTGAGCCCAACCCAAATATGTCTGGGTTTTGACAAACCCAACCCAAACATGAGCCCGATTTATGAATTGTATATCTAAATTTCAAAATTTATGGGTTAAGGTTGGGCTGGGCTGGATTAGCCCGCCCAAATTGCAGCCCTATTTATTTTCGTGTTTGTTTTCTGTTTGAGAGTTGAATGTGCTTTATCGTTAGATCTTTTTTCATCAATTTGTTTTTGTTCAATATTGCTTGATTCTGTTTGAGAGTTGAATGTCACTAATAGGGGAGATAAGTGAGATTACAAAATGTAGAAGGGATTTATGTTGAATATCGACAAACTGGAGGTGGTAAGTGAAATTAACATTTTTTTATTATTATTATTTGGGTGTAACAAACAAACTAATGGTACCTATAGTGGTAAAAAGTTGTCCACATAGAATAGTCAATAAAAGAAATCCAACATCACTTAGCCAAAAGCAAAAGAAATTCAAAAACTAATGGTAGAAGTTATCAAAATCCATTAAACTAAGTGAGCTATGTCACTATCATGCAAATGAAGTTTATACGTGGTCCTTAGCTGGGGTTATTTTCCAATTTTTACTATCATATCCAATTTTCTTGTTACTAAAACCAACGGGTAAAAAAAATTGAAAAAATCAAGTCATGCATGGTTTTGATTATAGAAGATGCTTTTCCAATTAATTTTTATAAATTGTAAATAAAAAGTATTGATGAGAGAAGTATTTTTCAAAAAAGAAGACGTTGCATGCTTCTCTTGTACTTAATACTTTTTATTTACAAACAAGTAAAAAAAAAAATTTCTCTTTCTTGGCAAATGGAACATTCACTCTACAAATTATTCTAAAACAAAGGTAGTGATTTGAAGCAAGAAGATACTTATCTTATGTGAGTGTGCGTGTGCGTGTGCATGTGCATGTGTGCGCTTTTTCCTAAGTTTGAGTTAAGTTTTATTACCTTTGTAACACATTGATTGACGTAAATAGCAACGATAAACGTTCACAAGGATCGTACCTTGAATCCATAAGGTGGTACCTCAAATTCACAAGGAAAAAAAAAAAAGAATTTGCAGAGAAATCTATTAATAATTAAATAAATGATTCTGCTATCTTTATTACATATATTTATAACGAAAGAAAACCTAATACTAGAAAGAAACTAAAAATATAGAGAAACTTAACTGTTCCAAAAAAAAACACCTACTTTGAAAATTCTCTAAAATAAGAAAAGAAACCTAATTATTAAAAACCGTTAAATACCAAAAAAAAAAAAAAACAAATCGAATTCGTTTAGTTTTCTAACAAAAACGCCAAAATATTCAAAATTGAAAAAACGCAATACAAAAACTCAACCTATGACCGAAAGCCAGTTGCTTTTTGGTAGATGCCCAATTTGTGTGTCCTCTCTGTTCTACGTATCCCATTTCTTTCAATACCCATTTGTCTCCCCCATTTGGAACTTTCAATACCCATTTGTCTCCCCCCATTTGGAACTTTATACAAACACGTTGCGTCCCTCCTCTTGGGGTGAATTTATAGCTTGCGCTGGTCAGTCATGGCAGGAGAAAGCTAACCCTAGAACTGTAGTTAGCAAGCTATGCCCCGCGGCACTACTAGTATACAACATGTAACATAAGACACTTCAAAAGTCGAATGCTATGCTCAATCAAACAATTGCCTCCGTTTCGAGACAAGTTGATGTGATGGTCAGTAAAAGAAGATTCACGCTCTGCTACATGCATTGTGGTTCTTTCATCCGTCCACCGCCTGATTGATTTCTCTGGCAATGATCGGAACTCATCAACGCCTCTACTGCGTAACCCGATTGTACACTAACTGTTATAACGGTTAGACTTGGAATTGTCGTCACTTTGGGTTGGTCTATTGACTTTGGTAAAACTTCGGTATTGATGTAATGGGCTCTGGCCTTTTGTTTTTCTTGGCCCAATAATTTGGGTATGTACACAACATATATATATACTCACACTTTCCTTTCAAATAAATAAATAAAATGATGGACTCAAATAAATAATGCCGGATTGATTTGGTGTATGAAATAGATGACATGAGCACGTTAATTACAAAGCCCATGCCGCGAACATCAATTACAAAGCTAGCCCAAGATTTAACATCTAGACCTATTTTAATCTTGTGATACTGTAGCTCAAATTTAGACCCGTTTTGTTTGTGGGTTGCGAATTTTAATTATTATTTTTTTGTAACTTGATGTATAAGGACGCTTAGAGTTTGAAATGAATCATTGAGACACTAAAAATCGTACAGAAAAAAGAATGAGAGGCTAAAACTTATAAATTGCGACTTTACACATAGTGAAGATTTTTGTAGAAACGTATAGTATTTTATCGAAACACGTATAAATTTTTATATTCTTTGTGTGTTGTGTTTGTTTTTTGTTGTGATTTATAATTGTCATAACAAATCTCATCTAAATGAAGAATTGTTTAAAGCTTTAACGGGCTCTATTGTGAGAATCCTCAATCCAGACTCTCCTAATTTAAACAGAGCTTCACGAAATCTATTGAGAATGTTGGGATAGATATCTCCCTATTTGGGATAAAGTAGCTGATTTTTGAAGTGTTTTGGGAATTAAGCACGTGTGCCTGTATTTGTCACTTTCTATATCTATTTAAAGCTTTATTTATTTCTATACAATCCTTTCACTACTAATAATTAAAAAAAACGTTGTAGTTGTTGACTTTAAATGGAGGGTTGGTCATTTTTCTTTGGTTTGGTTATTTCACTTTGAACTTTTGTCGATCAATTTCGAAAATCAAGTTGAAACTTCAGGGATTCCTTAAAAAGAATTACTTTTAAAAGGAAAAAATTAAAACTAGTTACAATAAGAACCGTCTAATCGAATATTAAGAAAAGTGGGGGAATGAGAGATTGAGGATTCAATATCCTTTGTTATTTCTTATTTTGTTTATCAAAAAAGTTGTGATTCGTAAATTAAACTATTAAAGTGCTTTTAAATGTGAATTTTGCTTCTTCTTTTTTTTTTATAAGTAAAATTCAATATATAGATATGAATATAGACATATGTACAGGCCCGTAAGTTAGCCCAGTGCTAACAAAGCATTACAAATCGATCCCATGAATTTAAATTAAGAATTTTTTAATAGTAATTTTATTTTTAAGTATTTATTATTGTTCACTGAACAGTTTTAGTACTTAAAGGGGGAATTGAATACCAACTATGCATATACATATACTAAATTTTCCGTTGAAGCTTCCACAGTCAATTCTGGGAGAGGCGGCTTCTCAACTTTTGGTAGTGGCAAATCAGTAAGATAACCGTCTTCAAACTTGGAATTCAGCCGCAATTGTTTAACGCTTTCGATCATCTTCTCCACGTCTTCACTGAACCCCGCCCGAGGAGTAACACGGTGCTGCTCTTCAATCTCCTTCACCCGTTTTTCAGTCGCATCCACATCTGCAATCCAGCCCATGCACTCGTTTGTTGGAGCCTTTTGTTGTTTTTCACGCTCTATCTCAGCTTTAATGTCGTCCCTCCGTCGACATGAAGCTGTTAATTGCTCATTAAGGTCCTTGAACTTATCTGGAAGGCTTATTACAGAAGGCCCCCCTTCAGAAATTGGCCCATGTGATTTCATAAACGTTTCCGTTGAAGCTTCCACACTCAAACCTGGGAGAGGCATCTTCTCAACTTTAGCAGACTCTCGCACGTCACTTTTAAAAATCTTCCTACAAATGTCTTTGGCCTTGTCATATACGTATTTGCCAATGTCATACAGAGTCTGCAAGGCACCCACGACATTTACAAACTTTCGCACCGGTTTAACAACCGGGCTACGCCATATTTTTTTGGCAAAGCCAACTAGTTTCTGAAAGAAACCCATGGCCACTGCACAGTTCCACAACGAGACATCATTATGAGCATGTGAAGTCAAAAATTCATCTGCATTTCATTCAACTTAGCCAACTGATCCATAAATGTTGCAAGTTTTTAGTCTTTTGTCATTTATTCTGACCTACTAACTAATTGTATCATCAAATATTTCAGCTCAAGGTCCATGATATAGAAAATAAATACATAAATATAAGTAAAGGCAAATAAATGCAGCAACACCAAACATGAAAATTTAAAACTCACAAGTTATATGATCAAACAAAATACTGCTTAGTTTGGATGGTTTCTCTGAGCTCTAGTTTGTTTGTTGTTGAAGGTTGTCTTAGATAATGGACGGGTTGATGGTGCCTCTAACCATATCTGGCTCATTTTTCCTATTCCGTGTAATAAAAACATTTTCACCTGTCAAAATAAAAATAGAATAACGTCGTAATGGATAATAATGCCGCTTCCCACTAAAGTCTAACTAGTAAATTCAAAATATCTTTATTAAGAATTAGATTATATTTGGGCGGTAAGTTACTTTTGGTGATTTATGCCTACTTCAACTATAAAAAAGTGTATCCGTCTTCTTCCAACTACTCAGTGTCGGTTTCATATAAATCTTACTTTTTTTCATTTTACGAATGTTAATTTGGTACTTTTGTTTCTCTCAAAATTGTATTTTGAGTCTATGAATGTTGTTTTAGTTAAATTGTGTACTATATTTTTTTGTAAAATTTTGCTATATAAAAATTTATATTTTATTTCAAAATTTGTTTATAAAATTATATACCTTACAGATTATACGCGGGCACACACACACACATATATATATATTCATATAAATATACATATACATATACATATTAACATATACATTTACCAATGTTGAGTGTCATTCAGGTTGGTTGAATTTTTGCAAAATTGTGGGAGGCATGTGTAATGCAAACATAAAAGTAGGGGTGGCACTATAATTTTAAAAATTCAAGGGAACACAATGTATTTTCAGAATTCATGAGGAAAGGTGAATAATTCAGTCACAAATGATAAAATAATAACAGTGAATACCGAGAACAAAAGCAAATACAACCATATATAATAAAGTTGGAGATGTCTATTACTTATTTTTAGTATTGAAGCAAAAATATGTACACGTCAATTTTAAAAAACTATCTGGTAAACCAATTTTAAATCCTTGCAAATGAAGTTCATATATGATCACTAAGGTTATTTCAAAACGTTAATTAACTAATTTCTAGGTACTGTATTCATTTTTTTGTGTTACAAATATTGTGCGCACAAAAATAAATAAATAAATAAAGAAGAAGAAGGAGAAGAAGTTATCATGTACGGTTTGGATTACATTCTTTTATTAAGGAAAAAAATTACTCAAAAACTTAGAGAAGTGTTACATGTATTACTCTAATAGACACATTACTTCAAATTGAAATTAATATGTAAAGGTAGTTATATATTTTCAAACATACCTTATGAAATAAGTTCAATCACTTGGAGTCTATATAATATTGAAGAGCCTGGACTAACGACTATTTTTTTTTTTCCTGTCAATATATATATATATATACATATACATATATATGTAACTTGAATCAATCAAATGAATCTGTATTTTAAAGAATTGGGAATACAGGCCATGCTTAAAGAGAAATGGTAATTTGAAGAATTGTTAAATAATTATTTTTTCTTTAGAATTTGTTTTAACTTTAAAAAAAAAAATCAAATTCTAGATTTTTATTTTTATTTTTTTTGAGAATTTTGATACAACATTTGGAAAAGATATGCCATTACCTTGATAAATGATTAAGGAACAATATTATCATTTTAAATAAGTAGGACATCATAAGTTTTAACAAAAAGTTATTATAGAAAGTAAATGCGGGAGTTTTATTAACAAATACAAGGTGTGGTTATTGAATTTGTCATTTAACAAGAGATGACTAAAAATCTTACTGCTACTTTGTATAATGTGGTTTTGGTGTGTTTATAAAAAGACATATTTATATGCATATTTAATTTATGTATGCACATTTAATTTATGTTTGCACATTAAAAAACATGAAATTGAATACTATAGGTATATTAAAAATAAATTAAAAACAAAGTTTCTTAACATATATAATCAAATTAAATTAAATATTCTTTTTCTTTAAAACCTTCAATAAAAAAACACAGATTTCAGGGACATTAGGAGCTGTGATGATTTACTGAAAAAACACAAATGAATTAATTTTTTATTTTTCGTGGTTATAAAAACATTTGAGAAAGTCCACCAAACCTTTTAAACTTCAAATTTACAGAGAAGTCCTCATCTTGCTATTTTTAGTACTTCTGCAAAATATGTTTAATTTTTCATTTATTTTAGCGGGAACCCATGCAAATCATGAAGTTTATATTTGGTCCCTAGGGTTATTTTTCAATTTTTATTATCAGATTCATTTTTCATGTTAAACACACACACACACACAAATAAAAAATGAAAAAGATCAAATCATGAATGGTTTTGATTATGTTCAAATTAAGGAAAACCTAAATATGTCATAATTAAAAATTAAAATATATAAGAAAATATATTATATATTCTTCTTATACGTACCTTTATTTCAAGTTGAAATATAACGAATGTTTGAGAGGCGGGATTGTTGACAATCTTTTTTATCTGTCAATGTATATTAACTTAAATCAATCAAATGAATCAATATATATTTAAAGGACATCAACTTGCGTACCTAATTGTTGCAATTGACACCTCTGATTTCTATCACTGAAGAAACAATAATGCATGCTGAAAGATGGATGAGATAACCTCTTGCTTTTATAGAGAAGAAGGAAGGAAAAATAATGCAGCATCTATTTATGAAAGAGTACACTTTAAATACAAGTTATAGAAGATGCTTTAATTACCGAAGAAAAGTTATAAAAAATGCTGCTTCTCAAATTAATTTGCATATATAGATTATTATTGTGAATAAAAATTATTGATTGTTAAGAGAAGATTAATATTTCAAAACAAGATGTATATATGTTTCTCTTCTTGTCAATACTTTTCATTTACAAACAAGAATTCCTTTCTTTGCAGGTAATTAAACATGAGATACAAATGGAGCATTTACTCTTCAAGTTATTCTAAAGCTAAGTTAATAATTTGAGACAAGAAGAAAAGAAAAATCAATTAATAGTTGATACTGCAAATGGCGTATCATTTTATTTATTTAGGTATACAAGCTTCAAACTTGTCCCAAGTGTTTTCTAACTCTTATTTATTTTTCTTGTGTATAATGTAAGAATTTTTAGACTTTCATTGATTATCATTTAATAATATATATGAAATTTCAGATTGATGGTTTAAACCAAATACAGATTGCGGGATATCCAATCAATGTAAGAATATTTGGGCTTCCATTGATTATCACTGAAGAGAAGAATATTTCTAATTTCCATTTACAAACAAGAATTCCTTTCTTTGCCGGTAATAAATGAGATGCAAATGGAGCATTTACTCTTCATGATATGCTAAAGCTAAGCTAATAATTTGAAGCAAAAAGAAATTAAAAATCAATTAATAGTTGACACCGCAAATGGAGTATCATTTTATTTATTTATGTATAAGAGCTTCAAACCTATCCCAAGCGTTGCCTAACTCTTATTTCTTTTTCTTGTGTACAAAAGCTATGTTAATTTGAAGAAAGATTTAATTGTATCAATAGAGTTCAATTGAGTTTTATAAAGCATTCTAATTAGCCTAAAGAAATGAACAGTTGCAAATGCAAGCAGTTAGCAACTTTCATCATAAAATCAAAATTTTAATTAAGTTATAGAATTCCACTTTAATCTGGTTGGCTAAATCAAATGATTGTAAATGGCATATTTTGGTTACTATTAATTTTGTTCGTTATTGCAGCTGTTGCTAATGAAATTTCTTTTGTGGTCATTAAATGATAAATAATGCCCGGTTTGATTTGGTGCATCAAATAGATGGCATGAGTACATCAACGTCACAACTCTAAATCTATTGAATATATAGCTCATCGAACTATCATTAGGGACGCATAGAATAGTGGTCATACCAAAAGATTTGGAGGCCCAACAAAGCTAGCCCAAAATTTAATATCTAGGCCCACTTCAATCTCACTTGAGATTTAAATGATCACCAATTGTGATGATGAAATCACTGTTGTATTAGGGACGAGACAGAAAGATGACCTAAAAATCTGAGTTGGATAATAGGATTGTCTTTCCTTATGATATATATATATTTTCTTTTTCAAATTTTTTTTTTTTCATTCATTTTCTTTAATATATCATGATAAGCTTATACTTTCATGATATTTAAATATTAATCCTCAACAACCACCTAGTTGAGACTATCACATTTTGTGCACACATATATTTATATAAAAAAATAACTATAGTATCTTTGTGGTAGTGAGTGCTAATTAGAAAGAAAAATTACAAGCAAGAATTGAAGCAGATAATTACTGGCACAACAATAATTACAATACAATAATAATTAAGACGTTTAGATAGAACAGTTTCTTTACAAATTAACATGAAGTTCCATTTCTGGCTTCTTATTCTGAGGCATATAGCAATATATAGTAATAGTTGCAACAAAGAGAAGATATATATATATATAGAGAGAGAGAGAGAGAGAGAGAGAGAGAGAGAAAGGTAGGATTCAAGATTTACCTGTTGGAGATTCACAGTGGATTCTTGTACCGATTATCAAATTTAACCTGGTCTGGGTGCCGCTTGAGAGGGCTGAATCGTAATTTGGTGGCATGGTCTTGCCATTTTAAATCTTCATCTGAGACAATCATCTCCAAATTAGGTGCACTATCTACCCCCAAAAGGAAATATTTCCAATTTTGGACATCGGAAAAAATGAACTCTTTTGAATGATTCCCAACACATGGTGGTGAAGGAAGTATTAGTATCATTCCTCCTCTTCTGGCCCAAGCTAACCAAATCCGGCAGATTGTGAAGTTCCAAATACTGGAGTTTGGGCAAATTAAGCGGGGCAAGAGGAAATGTTTCTAGTTTTGGACAGTTGCTGAGAGTAAGCATCCATAATGAGGGCCAACAACAACTTGTGTACGAAACATCTCCCTTGCTGAAGCCCACGAATTCCGACAGTTCCTCTAGTTTTAGTTCTTTCAGACTCTGCAAATCATCATGTGCTTCAAAAGGTAACATTTTCAGTTTTGGACATTCCAAAATACGAACCACCTCTAATGAGGGCCAACACCTCCTCCTGGAAACATCTCCGTCACCGAAGCCCGCAAATTCTGGCAGGTTTTCTAGTTTCAAATACTGTAGTTTGGGCAAATTATGCGGGGCAAGAGGAAATGTTTCTAGTTTTGGACAGTTGCTGAGAGTAAGCTTCCATAATGAGGGCCAACAACAACTTGTGTACGAAACATCTCCCTCACTGAAGCCCACGAATTCTGACAGTCCCGCAAGTGTCAGTCGTTCCAGACTCTGCAAATCATCATGTGCTCCAAAAGGTAACATTTTCAGTTTTGGACATTTCACAATACGAACCTCTTTTAATGAGGGCCAACACCTCCTCCTATACGAACCATCTCCGTCACCGAAGCCCGTAAATTCCGGCAGGTTTTCTAGTTCCAAAATTTTCAGTCTCTGCAAATCATCATCGCCGGCTCCAAAAGGAAATCTTTTCAGTTTTGGACATTTCCGAAAATCAAGTCTCTCCAATGAGGGCCAACGCAGCAGCAGCAGAACATTATTATTCCCCTTGGAGAAGAAACCAACAAATTCCTCTAGTTTTTCAAGCCCCAGATGCTTCAGTTTGGGTAGTGGTGTCCAACTATTATTATTTCCGATCTCATCATCGTCATCATTGTCCACTGAAATCATCTCCTCCAATCCCTTACAATTCCAGATGACCAATTCTTCTAAATGAATGAATTGCGAAAGCAAACCCCATGATGAGAAGAGCTGCTTCAACATCGGGCATTCAGTCACAACCAATACTTGAAGACTCTTGAAGTTGTCTTTTAATGGCATTGGCGTTGAGATCTCGCAGCAGCCGCATAAGATGCTTCTTAAATTAGTGAGTTGCACCAAGTCTAGGTATTCTAGATTCGCAAAAGCATTTGCTTGCAATCCATCTTCATCTGCCAAGCCTTCAAGCGCGTTACAACCATGTAAATTCAGAACCTCTGAACGTTTGATCACGTCCCTCACTGCAGATGAAACGATGCCGCTGCCTTCATCTATTTTGCCATCATAACCCAGAATCCGCTTGTATTTACGAGGAAAATACACACTTTTATGAGTCATATTTCTAGCCCCAACAGTGAAATGGAATTTCGTTAACCTGCCATCTCTCCATACTCCGCTGTGTTCAACAAATTGTTTCAAATTATTCACGGATCCAAATTGGAATACAAGTGAAGAAAGCCGTGTCGAGATGATGGAAAGCTCTCCTGCCACAACTCCTCTACTTTCTTCATCCAGTACAAAAGCATTATTTGCAATTTCAAATGTTCCAGTTGAGAAAGTTTGGATATCTTCCCACTAGGAATAGGAATCATCACCTTAATCTCAGCATCATTAATTGTTGTGTCCTTCAATTTCAAACATTTAAGGCTGGTCAACTCCCAAATCTCACCAGGCAGATCTCTCATGTTGTGCCAAGTGATCTTGAGCACCTCCAGTTTCTTAAGTGCATTAATTTCATGAGGGAGTGCCTTTAACTCTCTGCAACTTTTGAGAAGCAATGCTCGAAGGCTTACCAGATTTGAGATGGAAGATGGCAATGAGCAGATAGTGCTACCTGACATATCCAAAACTCGAAGTGTAGGCATGTGGTTAAAGAAAGATTCAGGTATTGCTTGCAAATAAGGAGAATAACGAATAGAAAAATCACAATGAAGCAGCAATGTTAAGAGCTTGGGGCAATTTGGCATCTCTGGTAAGCTGTACCCTTCTGCATTGATAAACGAGATCCTATCTGCTTCTTCCCATTCCTTATCATTCAGTACCATCTCTTGTCCGGACATGCCAGCTCTCACTACATGTCTGCTTTTTTCTCCTCCTTTCGAGGAAGTCAAATGTAGAGCAAAATCTCGAATCACATCATGCATTTTTACATGGTTGTCATCCTCGCATTTTTCTAACAGTGATGCATCAATAAGATCACGCAATAGGTCACGCCCCTCGTCACCAGCTTCCACCAAAGTACATTCACTCGAAAGAAGACCCTCCGCTCTCCAATATTTAATCAACTTAGACTTCTTAATCTCATGGTCTTCAGGATACAAGCCACAGTACAAAAACCGGTTCTTCATGCTAGCATCATCTGAACATAAATGGTCATAACTGGCTTTCAATGACGTAAACACATTGTCGCTCATGCCCTTGACATAAGACTTATCAGGCGATTTCAACTTTCTCAATAAATTGCGCCAGACAGAAACACTTTCCTCGTTTCTTAGAGCCCTACCTACTACCTTTAGTGCAAGTGGTAAACCATCACACTGTTGGACGATTTCTTTAGCTATCGGTTGTATTGTTTGTGACATAGCTATGCCTCCAACAATTGACTCAAACATCTTCCATGCTTCTTCTTTGGGCAATGCCCCCACATTGATCTCCGCATCAGTTTGCATCTCACGACAAACTCCAAAATTTCTGGTTGTCAAAACAACTTTGCCACCGTTGTTTTGGTTTACGCTTGGTATACCGACAGTAGCCAAGTTCAAGAATTCCCATACATCATCCAAAAGCAACAAGTACTTTTTTCCCTCGAGCTCATGTAGCAATCTTCTTGCAACTGTTTCGTCATCTGACTCATTCTTTAGATCCAACGATAAGCGCTTTGCAACTCCATCTTGAACTTTTCTAATGCTCCAAGAATTTGAGACGGTAACCCAGATTACGACATCAAACATATTTGTAATTTCAGGCCTATTATTCAAGAGTTTCATTAATGTTGTCTTCCCAATACCACCCATGCCCCAAATTCCAATCTTTTGAGTTGCTCCATCTCTTACATGTTCTAATATCTTTTGCAAGGTGCTTTCCGTCGAAGCTTCCACACTCAAATTTTCGAGAGGCATCTTCTCAACTTTTGCTAGTGGCAAATCAGCAAGAAAACCGGCTTCGAACTTGGATTTCTCATGGAGTTCTTTAACGCTTTCGATCGTCTTCTCCACATCTTCACAGATGGCATCTGGAAAGCATCCCTCGCTAACAAGGTCATGCTCTTCAATCTTCTTCACCTCTTCTTCAATTTTCTTCACCTCTTCTTCAATCTTACCCACATCTGCAATCCAACCTTTGCATTCATTTGTTGGAGCCTTTTGTCCATTTGCGCGGTCTATGTCAGCTTTAATGTCGTCCTTCCGTCGACATAAAGTTGTTAATTGCTTGTTAAGCTCCTTGAGCTTCTCAGGCAACATCTCAGCTTTTGGCAAATCATCAACAAAACCAGCTTCAAACTTGGATTTCTCCTGGAGATCTTTAACTCTTATGATCATCTCCTCCACATTTTTGCCAAGTCTTGCCCGAGCAATTACATCCGGGAAGCAGCCACTTAAACATCTCTTGTTAATAAGATGCTGGTCTTCAATATCCTTTACCTCTTTTTCAATCTTATCCACGTCTTCAATCCAGCCCTTGCATTCAATTGTTGGAGCCTTTTGTCGATTTACACCCTCTATCTTAGCTTCAATGTCGGCCCTCCGTCGACTTAAAGTTGTTAATTGATTTTTAAGCTCCGTGAACCTATCTGGCAGGCTTATTACAGAACACAAGCATTTAGCAAGTGGTCTACATATGTCTTTGCCAACGCCATATAGAGTCTGAAAGATATCCATTGCCTCTGCACATTTTCACAATAAGACATCATTGGTATGTCAAGTCAGAAATTCGAAATTTGTTCAACTAATTGAAGTTTGAGTTGTAAGTAGTAAGCCATTTTGTATTTCATTCATCCTAACCAAGTGATATTGTTGCAAATTTTAAGTCTTTTGTTTGCTAAAGACTTGGGTCTGGTTGATTTATTTAGACCCAACGCAGTTGTATCATCCAATATTTCAGCCCGAGGCCCCATGATATAAAAAATAAATACATAAATATAAGCAAAGACATATAAATGCAGCAACACCTAACATAAAAATTTTAATTAACCAAAACAAAGAAAACTAAAATAAAATATGAAACTCCGAAGTTAAAGGATCAAATAAAATAATGCTTAGTTTGGATGGTTTCTCTAACCAATTCAGGTTGTGATCTATTTCGGTTTCAGGTTGTGACCTATTCCGGTTGCGAGAGTCTTCGACTTTTTGTGGGACTTTACAATTTAATTTTTTTATAACCAAATTATCCTTTTAAATCATTACGTCTTTCTTTTCTTCCTTGTCAACTTGATTGATTCTTTATTGGGTTCTTATCATTTTAAGTTGGGTAAATTGCACTAGCACCTCCTAAGATTTGAGTCAATGACACTACCAATTTTGTATATATTTAAAATTAAGGAAAATTTTCATAATCTATCTCTCTAAAAAATTTTCTCTCTCTAAATATATCTTTATCAATGTTGATATTATCTCTCTAATTTATTTTCAATCTCTCTAAAATATATCTTTGTGGCCACAGCATTATTTCTCTCTCTCTCTCAAATTTCTCTCTATAAAATTTCTCTACGTCTTGCGTATAGTCTCTCTATTTTTTGTTGGCTGTAGTTTCAACCAACTAAATAATTTCTAAGTGAAAAAAGGAGAAGAATGAATAAATAAATATTTTTATGTATTGTATTGAATTCTTTGTTGTGTTAATATATCTTAACAACAAATCCCTTACACTATATATACTATTCTCCTATAGACCTTTGAACTTTTCAAGACAATTCTCAACCACACATGATACATGCACTCACTTGATACATGTACTCACTTAAAACATGTACACACTTGATACATGAATAAACCCAAAAATGCATAATGAACATGGAATTAATTTATTTTTAACACACCCCCCTTAATGCCATGTTGTGACACCCAACAATTCTCTAAAGTATTCAAACTTATTTTTTGAAAGTGCTTTGGTAAAAATGTCCGCAACTTGGTCTTCAGTCTTACAATACTTGAGTTGAATCTCTTCATCTGTGATGTTTCCAATTTTCCGCATATTTCATTTTTTTGAAATTTTGTTGATGCAAGGGTATTTCTGTCTTTTCACGTTTTGCGTACGAGATTTTAGTTAGGCCCATTTGCATTTCACACTTTTTTTTTATGTGAATTAAGTGGCATTTACTTAGTGGTGCATGTATTTAAATATGTGGTGTAATTTTGAGACAAAAAAGAAAAAGGAAAAGGAAAAAAAAAAAAAAAAAAAATGGTGGGACCCACCACTAACTTATGAGACCACAATTTGTTTCCCCACTTTCTCTCTGCCCGTAACTTCTTCTTCTCTCTCAATTTTCTCTTCATTTTTCTTTCCTTTTGGAAGCAAGCTTTGATCTAAGGTTTCTCTCTCAATATTTAGTGATTTTAAGTGCCGTTTGAGGCAAAATGGAGAGCACGACGATCTCTACGCGTGAGTACCAACAATTTCAGCTTTGGGCCTTTCTTTGGATTTCGAAATTCTTGACCCATTTCAAGGGTTTTGCTCATTTTAGAGGTAGGGGTTCTTAATTCATGTTTTTCTTGCTCCTTGGTGAATTATATCTCACAAAGTGTTGCAAGCATGTTTAATTTGAATGTTAATTATCTTATAGATCTTCTAAATGTTGTTTAGAAAATACATGATTATGTATATCGGTTGTTTGGTGTGAAAAGCATACTTAGATGTTGTTTTATTATGTGTATTGTGTTGATACATTGCTCGAGATGATGAATATAGGATATGCTTAATTGCTTAGTAAAATTTCTCTAAATTCTATGACATTGAAAGCATAGGACATATGCATGTGCATATCATTGGGTTTTCATGAAGGGAATTGTTTTGAAATGAAAAAGGGAATTTTGGGAATGAAGTTTTGATTAAAGTAATTTTTAAGAAAACCCGGTCATCGCGGGAGTACCAAAGAGCCGGAGTGTTAATATAGCCTAGAGGGAACTAGGGAGATTGTCCTAGCGTGATTGAGCTAGCTGGGCCCCATAATGACGCCGCGGGGTACCAAGGGTCAGGGATACTATCCAATCCTTCTCTCGTGTCGCTGGGGGGTCACCAAAGGGCGGGTTATATTAACAGTTTGAAAGTGATAGTTTGAAAGTGAAAATGGGGAGTGACATCGGCATGCATAGCATTCCATTGCATTGCATTGTTTATACTAGAGATTGATTAGTATGTTGCATTATCCCGACATGGTATGATCCCCATTCCCATTGTTCTATTCTTTGTTGTGGGTTCACTGGGACACAAGAGGCGTGTCTTAAGTGCCATCTACTAGGCAAATTGATCACCCCATATACTTATCATTTTTCAAGTTATGGAAAGGAATTAGTGGATAATAATCCACCGCAGGCTTGAAAATTGTTAGAAGATCATTTTTGCTATTTTGTATTTTGGTCATTCAGTGTATAATCATAGTTTTGAGAATGCAACAAATGTTAATATTCATGGCTTTGTAACTTAAGAATGAAACTTAGTTTTCATTGAATGTAAATGGGATTAATGTAATATTGTGTATAACTTCATGTAATGACTTAAAAAGATGTTATAAGATGATTATGTGATAGTACTCATGCGCATGATCGTGGAATGTCTCATTTTTTTATGGTTTAGTTAACGTTTGAATCATTCTAAAGTCCCCATCTTAGTTTCCCTTTCATTTCCAAAGTACAGCAGGTCGGTTCCAGCTCCAGGGCTCAAAGAAGCCACTTCGGTCGACCGAAATGGTGCATCGGTCAACCGAACCCATTGTTGGCTCTCGGAATCTCCTGTTTCGGTCGACCGAAATGAGGTTCGGTCGACCGAACTAACTTCACACTCTCGGGATCTTCGGTTTTGGTCGACCGAAATAGAGGTTCGGACGACCGAAGTTAAGGGGCTCATTTCGGAAGATCGAAGCTCCACTTCGATCGACCGAAATGAAGCTGTAATGTCAAGCTTCATCTTTCGTCCCGGAATCCGTCACCTTGAGTATTTCCTTATCCATGGAATAGTTTACAAGTATGTTTCTAGAGTGATGATGATGTTTTGATACTAGAAGAGCAGAGTTTGACGTAGGTGACCTCGGGTTCGAGTAAGGACCCGGCTAACGGTTCAGACCTCCGGGTTCGGGTCGCTACATCATCCTCCACAACTTCTCTAATGAAGTGATGCTTGATTACAATGTGTCTTGTGCGACTATGGAAAATAGGATTCTTTGTCATAGCAATTGCAGATTTGTTGTCACATAAAATTGGAGTAGCTTCTCTTTGCTTCTCACCAACATCTTCAAAAATTCTCCTTAGCCATATTGCTTGTGACGCTGCCAATGATGCTGAAATGTACTCAGCCTCGGCAGAAGATTGCGCAATCATTTCTTGCTTTTTAGATGTCCATGAATATACACCCGAACCAAGAGAGAATGCATAACCGGAAGTGTGATGTTTCTGATTTTTCAGCATTTTCATTTTTTCAATAATTCGTGGAGACAAGGGTATTTCTGTCTTTTCGCATGTTGTGTTCGAGATTGTGGTTGGGTCCATTTGCATTGTGCATTTTAATTTATATAGGTTGAGTAGTATTTTTATGTAGTGGTGCACTATATGAATTGTGTGGTGTAGAAAATAGAAGATTAAAGAAAAAGAGTAAATAAAAAGAAATTTCGGGGCCCACCACTATTTCAAAAATGGTCTAGAAACCACTATTTTGTTTCACACTTTCTCTCTCCCCGTAAATCCCTCTTCTCTCTCAATTTCTCTTCCATTTTTCTTTTCTTTTTGAGACAAACTTTGATCCTTGATTTCATCTTCATTACTTGTCGGAATTGGGTGCCGTTTGAGGCAAGACGATGAGCACGACGAGCTCTACGCATCCATACAAGCAATTTCAGTTTTAGTGCCCTCCTTGGAGTTCGAATCTAGGGACCCATTGTTAGGGTTTTGATGCAAACTTAAGGTAGGGGCATCTTAATTCATGTTTTCTTGCTCTTTTGGAATTATATCTTCCCTGTGTGATAATGTGTTTAATTTAGGAGTTGATTGTATCAATGATTATATTAGTGATGTCTAGAAAATTTCATGATATTAAATGTGACTTGTATTATGTGAAAAGCATGTCTAGGTGCTACCTTGTTGTGTTTAATTTGATGATAATCCATTTTGAAATATTGAACATGATATATGCTTGAGTGGTTGTTGTTGTTCTTTAAATGTCTTAATCTTGGAACCATGGAGCATATATATACAAATGCATCATTAGGTTGCATGAAGTTGGTGGAATTGGTTTTGAAATAAAAAAGGGGATTTTGGGATATGAATGTTTTGGAAATGGTTTTATGCAAATCCGGTTGCTGCGGGTTTACCAACGGGCCGGAGGTTAATATAGCCTAGAGGGGACTAGGGAGTCACCCTAGTATGGTTGAGCTAGCTGGGCCCCATAATAACGCCGCGAGATTACCAAGGGTCAGAGACACTAGCCAATCCTCCTCTCGTGTCGCGGCGGGGTTACCAAAGGGCGGGCTGTATTAACATTTGGAAAGTGATGGTTTTGAGAATGAAAATGGGGAGTGGCATTAACATGCATTCGCATTCCACGGCATAACGTTCTTTGTATTCTAATTTGGTTGGAATGATGTATTAATTCCCTATGTTGCATGCTCCCTATTTCCAATTGGCCTATGCTTTGATTGGATTCACAAGGACACAAGACGCATGTCTTAAGTGTCACCTA